TGAAAACCATCTCGCATTTATATTGTATGAAGTATGTGGTGGGGAAGGCTGGAGTTTATATTGGGGCAGGTAAAGCACCGGGGGATGAAGGGGGGGGGGAGGGGAAGGGAAGTAATAAGAGAGGAGTCCGTTTGTGGTCCCAAGGCGGTGTTTGGGACCCCTCATGTTATCTGAAGAGATTGTTTGGGGCCCGTTTGTGATCCAAAGAGTCCTTGGGACCTATATGTCATCCCGACAGTACTTGAGGGCCAGCATGTGGTCCTAAAGCAGGGTTTGGGGCCCGCATGTGGTCCCGAGGTAGTGCTTGGGGGCCTTCGGTATCCCAAACGGCGTTTGGGGGTCCGTCTGTGGTCCCAGACGGTGCTTGGTGGGGGTTGGGGTCCGTCTGTGACCCATGACATTGCGTGGGGTCCGTATACGGTGTTAGGAGGTCATTTGAAGTCTGTCTGTGGTCCCAGACGGTGTTTGGGACCAATCTGAATAAATGTAGTTTACGGGACGCTTTGGTCAGTCTCCACTAACGTGATAAATTGAATGATGAGAGAAGCTGAGCGTAGCGGGATATAAGCAGGTCTTGGCGGAGTCTACGAGAGAGAGAGAGAGAGAGAGAGAGAGCGACGAGTGTGTAACTTCCTAGTTATGTTTATAATGACAAGCTTCAGCTCTTGGGCCTCACCTTCGTTGCTGTCCATCATCTGATGTACTGATTACCAATCTTCATTGTGGTTGTTTTAGATTCAGCTACTCGGAACAAAAGTTCCAAGTAGCACGGGCTATGGTGAGCCCGCATTGGACTTACCTGACACAGGAGCGGGGCTGTAACTGCAACCTTCATCACTGTGATCATTTTAGGTATAGAACGTTCGTAGGAACTTACAGCTCACTACCCTCACCCTCTTCAGGCTCATCTGTGCCTAGCTCATGTCTCTCTAGGTCAGTTGCGTCTAACTCATGTCCCTCTGGCTCATCTGTGCCTAGGTCATGTCACTCTGGCTCATCTGTGCCTAGCTCATGTCACTCTGGCTCATCTGTGCCTAGCTCATGTCACTCTGGCTCATCTCTGCCTAGCCCATGTCTCTCTGGGTCAGTTGCGTCTAAGTCATGTCCCTCTGTCTTCTCTATTCTGTATTCTTCGCTATCCTGCTGCCTCTCCTCAGGGGTTTGTTTTATTAATTAAATCTGTCTTCCCGCTTTCATAGTTTTTATTTCCTGTTTTGCATATTTCATTCATATCAACTGTCTCCCCTCGTTTGCATGCTTCTTATCGCTGAATGTTATGTTCCCCTCTTTTGTTGTGCTCTGGCTTAAGTTTTCCTCTTGTAGGTACACTGCTGTATTTTGCCTTCTTTTTGATAAATGGGAAGTTCAAATTTCTTTAGCTTTTACTCCTAACTGAATAGATTCATATCTTGAGGTTATCTTGAGATGATTTCTGGGCTTAGCGTCCCCGCGGCCCTGTCTTCATTCCGAAAAGATGTACACAAATTTTGACCTTGAAAACAAATGATATATTCTAGCAGTTCTCCTGGACCTATAAGCCTTTCTCAGCAGCCCATCCTTAAAATATTGGCTAAATGTTTGTTTATGAAATGTACTTTCGGAGCCGGTCGGCTGAGCGGACAGCACACTGGACTTGTGATCCTGTGGTCCCGGGTTCGATCCCGGGCGCCGGCGAGAAACAATGGGCAGAGTTTCTTTCACCCTATACCCCTGTTACCTAGCAGTAAAACAGGTACCTGGGTGTTAGTCAGCTGTCACGGGCTGCTTCCTGGGGGTGGAGGCATGGTCGAGGACCGGGCCGCGGGGACACTAAAGCCCCGAAATCATCTCAAGGTAACCTCAAGATGAATGAAAAGCACTTGACATACAGCTTTAGGGTTGGCCGTAGCTGAGGATGGGTCGTTGGTAGGTGTTCCAGGTATTGCTTCTCTCGCTCATGTGCTCCTTGCCTCGTTTATAGCCCGGCTGGTGTTTACATAGTAGGGCTTCCGCTCCCAGTCTGTCTTCATCAACAAAGGCCAAATGCTCGTTAATCTAACCGCCAATTCCCCTGTATATGAATGACACGGTTTACACACAATTCACAACTGATGTTCGAATATTTTTCGAACAGCACTTCGCTGACGGCTTCTGCTCGAATCGCAACTCTCTAAATGCTTAACTCACGTACTTCAAATGCAAATAATCGTCAACAGAACCTAAAATACCTAACTTGCGCGTAACTAAGAATATAACTTAATGAATAGTTATGCAAATTTATATGAGAACAAAGATATTTTTAATACGCAGTACTGTTCTTTAAAATTTATGACTGCGTCTTTGGGGACGGCTGCCTCTTTAACAAGCCTGGCCTGAGGACACGTTCCTGCGCCAGTCGTTTTCCTCCTTTTATGTCTTTCTCTAGTCTCGTCCTTCTCCTCCTTTTTGCCCCTTTGTCATACACTTCCTTCTCATTCCTTAGTTTTGCCCTCTTCCTCTGCTTCATCTGTCTCTTCACCAGCAGCTTAATGTACAGCTTCCTGGTGCTTCGCTGGCTTCCCCACCACCCGCCAGGGGGGCTGGCACTGCTAATTTTGAGCTTCCTGTGTGTGTGTGTGTGTGTGTGTGTGTGTGTGTGTGTGTGTGTGTGTGTGTGTTCACTGGTGTCTCTTCATTGGTTTTCTTCGTAAAATTATTGACAAATCACGCCTAAATATTCGAAGAAAAAAAGTTAAAATTATTAATTTTGAGATATTAGGCTTTTGCACATAGTTAGACTAACCCTAGGTTAGTCTATGTTAGCTGTTTTACTTTAGTCTCCACATAGGGATAGGTTGAGGATGGCAATGGCTGGGGAATGGGTTGAGGACGGGCTGTGTAACTTGACAACGTCAAGTCAACGAATATGATACACTGGAATATCCAGAAAGTGGATTCAGAGAAGAGTGAGTACCGTTGTCGTGAACATGTGTAAGAATTTCGACCTTGCAAGCATACCGCCAGGCCAATACATTGTCAGTATTGTAAATGAAATATATCAGTGTGTATAACATATATTTCTGATGGGAACTATGAATATATTTAGCATTACTTTGATTTGGCGAAGTCGGCATTTATTTTTAAGCAACGTCAGTTTGGTCAGAAGTAAATATTCGCGAGTATATCGCAAATTTGACGAGTTTTTTGGCATGAATAAAATATACTGGCAAGGTATATAGTGGTATATACTCAATATACTGGCAATATGGCAGTACATAGCCCGTACATTTGAATTGCAAATTCAGCAGTAAAAATGCAACTGTTTTGTATGACTAGAAACATACTAACTCAAGCAACTTTCCTAACCTATCGAGGCTGATGCATAGGAAACACCAATATTACTGTACTATATATTTACTAATACGTTACATTTTAACTGTTTGGTCGATTCTGTTAAAAAATGTGACGTAGTAAGTGAGAGAACAGGGCACTGGAAAATGTAATGTCGGTACACATTAAACGTTCTGAGTATTACATTAATAATTGACTTAAATAACAGCAGCATGGGGTATTACATCAATATTTTCCCATAATATCTGACATGTATAACATGTGAGTACTACTGTACATGAGTATTACTTTAATATTTCCCATAGTATCCGACATAAATGACAGCAACACGAATATTACTTTAACATTACCTATATCTGACAATATCTGACGTGAATGAGAACCACATGGGTCAATATTCCCCCATAATATCTGACATAAATGACAGCAACATAGGGTAGCACGTCAATATTTTCCCCCTATTATCATATCTGACTTTGTTTTCGTAACACACACACACCTGCTAAGTCACGCTAATTAACGGCTCTGCAATACTTCGTGAGTATCTCCAAGCCCGCGCTGCCGCTGGCCTGGCCACTGTTGCCACGTCGAGTGTTGCCCTCCTGTCGTACGTGAGTGTCCATTTAATAACACATTTTCTTCCAGTGTTGCCGGAGCCTCTAGGTGGTAACACTTTTTAAAGGAATCGTTGTTACTTGTTATAGTTTTCTTTCTCAATCGTGCAGGAAGAACTTTGTGAAATATCCGTCAAAATAGATGTCTTGATTTAATCCAGTTCAGAACCTGGTTATATGATTTAGGTTACTGAGAGGATTTTACGTGTCATCTGAAACGTGGCAATAATGTTTTGCAAATAATTAGTTTTTAGACTTTTTCCTTGATGATAATTAGTCGTGGCAAGTCAGCAGTTTTAATGTAATTTAGTGTATAGCTACCAATAAAGATTCTAATTCTAAATCTAGATTATACAAAATATATTTGACTCTCATGTAAATAATGTACTAGATTTTTTCGATTATAAATGTACAAACCATTTATGTTTGAAGTTTTTGACTTGCAACATATTCGCTTCGGCACCTTATTAAAGTTTACAGTCACTTTATAGAGTTTACAAATTTGAAACATACGTGTAAAGTAGTTGAATGTTTATTATTGTTTAATATTTGACTGTCAATGTTTCGTAAATATGTAGAATTTGTTTCGTAGTCGCTATGACACTTTTTTCATCCATTTTTCACAAAATGTACTAATTTTTCTTCTAAACCCTTCGATCTCGATTTTGTGTGAGAGGGAGAGAGAGAGGGGGGGGGGGAGCCAATTATCAGGGGAAAGCGCCGAGCCATTGCGATTATATAGCACTTGGAACTGATCAGGATAAGGATTTGGGATGGGAAAGGGGGAAAGGAATGGTGCCCAACCCCCTTGGACGGTCGGGGGATTGAACGCCGAACTGCATGAAGCGAGACCGTCGCTCTACCGTCCAGCCCAAGTGGTTGGGCGTAGTAGGTACACAGAGAAACACAGACATAGAGTGAGAGACAAAAACAGAGAGAGAGGTAGGGAATGAGGAAGGGAGGAGGAGGAGGTAGACATGACGTGGAAGACATGAAGACAGAGAAGCAAGCAGGATAAGCAAGGTCAGATGCCCGAGGGCCATCAGGCTATACAAGAGGTAAGGGTTGGGTACTTGCCAGGGACGACGAGGGTGTGGACGGTGTTGTTCTCGATGTCAGGGCACGCCTTGGGCAGCCACAGTGCCAGGCTCAGCAGCTCCCCTTCGTCTGGCGGCGGCTCCACCTGCAGCGCCACCTCTGTTGGTCAACACAACTTCGTTACTTCCACCATCTCAACAGTATTAATGAAATATTTTTGGTACCATATTTCTATATATATTACTCAGGATAGGCCTCTCAAACTACTATATGAATTACTCAGGACAGGCCTACATAATTTCTACATGAATAACTCAGGGTAGGCCTACTAAACGTTTTCATGAATTATTCAGGGTACCAAAATTTGACACAAGTTACTCAGTACTAAGTAACTTGGGATGCTAAATGTCTGCAGACACAGCACTACCTAGGTTACTGAGTCTGGAAACTTAAACAACGTCTGTAGGATTTATTACCAAATAACTTAAGTATAAATGTCATAATGTAGCAATAAATTGTTTATCATTTTTGGATAATGTTATTGCAATTGTTTCTTGATCAAGGTTATGGGATTTCGACAGCAGTACTTTTAACAAATCTTCTTAGATGATGATACCCTGAATAGTTTCTCAGATTCCTTCTTGGAAGACATCAGAATAATTCTGAAGCAAGGAGCGAATCTAAGCCTCACTCTGAACTCTTTCTAAGCGTGAAAAAACCTCATCCGACAATTCATTACACATCAAGTAAAACATGTTTTGTTCGATATCCATATAGCTAAAGCTGAAGAAAGCACACTTCTTGGAGCTCCTCTTGAGTCGAAGGCCATCGACGAGGTCCTTGGTAAAAAGATCGCTGACCTGAAGAGGATCGAGACACTGATGCTCACGATGCACTTTACCTCATCACCAGTTGTCTGTCCCTGCCCAAGTTAACCTACTTTTTGAGATGTTTGCTATAGCCCCAAGCCAGGTGAATATGACTTCTTACTAAAATACATTTTAGAAAAAAAGTCCTTAATTTTTTCTCAATGACCCCTAGTGGAAACAAGCCACTTTTCCAGTCAGGCTTGGGGGGCCTCAGCTTTCGCACAGAAACCCAGATCGCTGTACCAGCCTTCCTGTCCTCCTCCTCTGCAGTATCTGACAATCCAGCGAAGGAAATGCTACTAGATTACCTATGACAAGTGGCAGGGAGTACATGATCCCAGTTTTATTCACTGCATCACTAAGGGAATTTTTCTCTGCCCCACGTTGAATCGACCAAGACCCATAAGTACAAATAACTGGATCATCAGTACAACTTTATCCGCATTGCTTAAGAGATAGTTCTTGTCTGATTTCAGTGACTTCTTTCTAAAGCCCACAAGCAATGTAACTTGGACGGTCTCATCATAGACAAGCAGCTCCAGTGTGTCTGGATGTTGTAACAACACTACATGAGGCTATTTGCCTCATATCGGCGGTAACTCCCCATGCAAGTGACACTCATCCTGCAGTCAGCAACTGGCAAGCATCTCGCACTACAGGACCACCAAATTCCAGCGGCTCTCCACCTAGATGCTCCAATCCACACAAAATATTGGTGTATTTGCAGTGAGGCGTAGGCTGACAGGTGCGGTAACATGGCCTGCTGTGCCGAAGCACAAGGGGCTTGTACTTGAAGCACTGTGAAGTTCACGACATCATTAAGAGGAGATTTATCATGGCTGTGTCCAACAGAGAGAGAGAGAGAGAGAGAGAGCCATATCATCTATTGTCTTGAACCTCTGCCAGTCCTGTTGGTCACCCAGATGGGATTACAGTGCCGCAAGCACAACTGTGTGAGTACAACTAGGTGAGTACAGTACAACCTCGGAAGAAGGGTAGGCAGTTGGTATGGGACTACACGTATATATAAACCTTGGCTAACGCCTACTTTCACTTTAGTGTTGCACATATGGGTTGTGCTGCCACCCACAGGATATCAGCCAAGTGCCGTAAGTGCATAGAACTGGATCATCAGTACAATTTTGTCCCCATTACCTCAGAGACAGTCGATATCTGGGGTAAAAGTGCCACTAGTTTTTGAAGGATCTAAATTTAAAGTTTACCGAAACAACAAGAGATCCAAGAAGTGCCACTTTCCTCTTCCAGCACCTCTGTGCGTCACTACAAAAGGGATACACACGTACCGAATCACCTTCTGTGGTTGATTGTTCAATAAATCCCTGAACTATATGTTTAACTGATCTCTAACCCCGTCCATGGAGGACAGAAGAAAATGTATATATGCTGGTTAGCATTGTAAATGTGTGGCCACGTCTGTGGTAGAAAAAAAAATGCATTCATGGTCCCTGCCCATTATCCGAGGAGCTTTGGGAAGTTGACAGCGTGTGATGACTAATGTTGTACCTTCTATATAACCAGTGTTGTAGCCTCTCTTTATAATAAATTGTTAAATACAATAAAAAATCTAGAAATAAAAGGGGTGGCAGAAGATAATATGCGAGTACACGGAGACGGAGCCTCCACAAGGTTTACACGAGTGCTGTATATCCTCCTCTTCGAGGCTGAGGGTCCTTATACACAATAGACAGCAAATGTAAGGATAGGCTGTATATAAATACACACCGCACGTGAGAAGATTAAAAATAAACATAAACAGTGAATTGTGGGATGAAATTTAACCATTTACTAAACTTTAGATTTTCCACACGCAAGCACATGCACTCTCACACATATTTATGTACTCTGACTTACATATCCACGCACATTTCCACATTTACTTCCACACATGCAAATGCTCATGCACGTACACTGCTCCTCTCCCCCAACGCACACCCTCCCTCCCCCTCACAACCTTCCCCAGGGGAACACTTGTGTCAGTATATCAACAACATTACCACAAGGCTGCCAGAATTTACCAAATATATGAGTAACCGCTACGAGACCCCGTACTAGACAAGACACTTTTTACCTGTGTAGTTTGTAAATAATTATTTTTATTATTTATTCCATTTTTCATCATGACAAACGTGGCCTTGATGGTTTAACATATTCTGTCTTTTATATCTATAAATTAGAGAATACTGATTTGTGGAACACTTTAAAAAATCCTGCGTGTTTTAAGAGTGCCAGAAATCTTTTAACACTGTGCAGGCGATGAGTCACAATAACGTGGCTAAAGTAAGTTGACCAGACCACACACTAGAAGGTGAAGGGACGACGACGTTTCGGTCCGTCCTGGACCATTCTCATGTCGATAGACCTTTTGACACTGTGCCACATAGGAGGCTCGTACTTGAAGAACATGCTGGAGTATTGGGGAGAATATTGGAATGGGTGAGGGAGTATATGTTTCTGTGGTATCTTGTACGATCACTTTATTGGACAAATCATTATGAGGATATACGTGGACATTGCAAAACGCCTGAACACAATTAGGACAGAAGAAAATTGCAAAATGTTGACCTAGCTAAGCTGCAGGAATGGTCTTAATAATTGATGCTCGACTTCAACCCAAGTAAATGTAATGTAATGGGAGTTGAGAAGGAAGCGAGGAGACTGCAAGAACGGTAGCCGATGGGGAAAAGTTAGATCTTAGATTCTGATATAGAATATTTTTTGGAGTGGACATATCAGCAGCATATGCAATACTGACAAACATTCCAGCAGCTTTCATGAATCTGAACAAGGAAGCATTTAGGACACTACACAACCTGTGTGAGACCATTACTGGAGTATGCATCCTGGAGTACACGTACTCCTGGACACATGTACATCAGTCTGCATATACATACACGCGCCAATATACATGTATACACACCCATACGTCCAGACACACGTCAGGATACTTGGTCACACAAGTGTGTGTATGTGGTGTGTGGTCATACATACACACACACACACACACCAGGATACATGTGCATACGCCTACACATATACATGTGTGCCAAGATACGTGTACATACGCCCACAATTAAACACGATCACCAAGAAACATGTACATACACCGACACATACACTCCGATGGCTAGATGTATGTACACGCTGACAAAGACACGCACGCCTAAATACGTGTGTTTGCGTCCTAACAGACCCACACATGAAAGAGTTCACTAGGGCGCCAGATGTGAACAGCTTGGAGGCGGGGCATAAAAAGCTATATCTCCCGCACCCTTAGTCACAGATAGGTAAGCGCACATGCCAAGTTATATATGTATATACACACGTCCACACTTACACGCGCAATAAAGCAAATTGCGAGATATAAGCAAAATAAAAAGTGGGAGGATAATTCTACATCATCTTCGAAGTGAGGTCACCGCTGCTAGACAGACTACGACGGCGGTGGAAGATGGGTGGGTGAAGGGTGGGGAAGATGGGGGAGCCGTCGGGTGAGGTGGATGTCTAAAGCATGAGGTATTTCGGAGGATGACAGCAGCTGAAGGAGGTGTGGATAGCCAGGAAGGTAAACAGGAATCACCCAGGGAATGGAACTTGTCTGATTATTCTACCACAGACATTTTTTCTTTTATAAAAATTCAAGTTAACTCGTTGCCAATGATTTTTTTTTATTAGTTTGGCGTGGAAACTTGCGATCGTCGAATCACCAAACATTGTCTTCCAAACTGGTCTCTGTAGAAATAGACATCTGCATGTATAGCATTATTTACAGTGCATGAGTTCGTCTACATTTACTTAAAAATCCCAGTGGGTTGTAGAACCAGCTACCAAAAAATATGCAGTTTTTGCACCGTGTGAGTGTAACGTTCACTGTCGTTAAGTAACCAGTTGTAACATAACAACGAGCACCCTGGATTATGTCCTTAATGTCACCTCTAATTCTAGCATGAACACAGCTGCAAAATAATGAAGAGAGACGTTGCTGCTCAACAGTATATTGTTTCCGAGGACATTACGCATGCACTGTGTCACTCCTCCATGCTTTACGAACCTGATTGAGATTTCATTAAAATAAGGTCTTTAAGATTCAGGAGAGAGAGTAGGAAGGGTAAATTGTCTTTTCTTAAATTGGCAAAAAGTCCTTGTCACTGACCCCCACGAACTTGAATGATATTTGACTGGATTAGAGAGTGTCTGACAAATAGGAAATAGAAGTTTGTAGTGAGAGTTAAGATACAGGATAGAGGGAAGTTACAAGCAGGCTCGATACTCGGACCGCATCTGTTTTTTTTATTCGTGTGGAGCGGAGGAGGTAGACTCGTTCATATCGATATTTGCACATGATACTAAATAGATGAGAAGGATACTGTGTGAAGAGAACAGCATAATTCTACCAAAGGACAGACATGAGTCAAAGAAATATATTCAAGAAGTCATGAAAGCCACCTCCATCCACAACCTTATGGCCAGATTTTACAATTCATCAAACCAACTCATGATTCCTACATCCCCACCATCCTCCCCCTTACCCCACTTCACCGCTTCCTCTTTCCCATTCTTGTTCTCATCCTTCTCACTTTAATCTCTGCACACACACACACATTCCCCCACCATTCTTCTACCCTATTTTCTTCTCCTTTATAATTTTCCTCATAATTTTTGTCGTCTTCTTCACCACTTAATTCCTGAGGAGCAGCTTGAGGAGTAATGCTTTAGAGTAGACTTGACGTCATACTTATGCCTCGCCGCCCAAATACAGTAGATCATATACCATGTCTTCCCCCTGAACATCTCGTGTGGGAGATCCCGGGCACTCAAAGTAATGGATATGGTGACCAGAGGTGGATGGAAAAGTCTAGGTAATCTTTAACTCTTCAGGGTTAAATATAATTGCAAGAACATAATGGTCAAAACATTCTTGAGTAACTATGATTGTTATCAACGATGATCCAATGTTTTCGACGTTGATTAAGCGTTGATTCAACGTTGAATCAGTGTCGTTTGCCCAACATGTGCTTTGTTATGATCTTTGATGCACTGTTGCCTTGGTCTCATGTCACTGCCATTCATGACTCATAACTCAATTTGTCAATATCTGCATCGTTCATCTGCTAGACGTTATCACTGTTTTCCTAAAATGTAGGACTCTGAACTCTTGAAAATTAACTGCAATGTGATGAGGACTTTCTGGAATTCCACAGTCTTCACTCGATATTTTTATTTGTCCCGCATTATTGTTATCTGCAAATTTGCCGATATCACTGTTCACCCCAAGATCTGAATCGATTACATATAATATTAACACAATGACCAAAAGAAAAACGGACACATGGGATTCACGACTAGTAACATTTCTCCGTTCTGACTAAAACCCCGTTGATGTTACCTCTCTGCTGCCTACCCTTCCACCAGGCTCTGATCTAATTAAGACTCCAGTAACATCAATCTTAACTTTCCTGATCAGCTTCTCCCTTGGGATACTGTGCCCAAAGGCATTGATAAGGTCTAGATAACATCACAACTAATATTTCTGTTGACTGTCTTGAATACTCTTGTGTACAAGTACAGCAGATTTAAGACGAGATCACTATTGCAAGAAAGCATGTTCTTTTTCAGACTATGTATGTAAATATGTATAATTATATATACAGCATCATTTGTAAAGGTGTTTGCCTACAGAATTCGTTATTATAGCCTCGAGTAGCTTTCCTATTATCGAAGTCCGGCTAATCAGATGGCACTTCTCAGAAAGGGATCTGCTTCCCTATGAATATTATAGAATAAATTCTTGAATCGATGATCGCAAACGCAATTTGTTTACTGATTGAAAACTAAGATTTTAATAAAGGATTCACAGCGACCTTACTATTTCTTCGGTCATTGTTCTCCAGCTTCCTGCAGTTGCCTATATTCTTATGTACTCAAAGAGCTGCTTGTTTTAGAAGCTGCGTGTACTCTTAAAACTGCTTATTTTTTAAGAAACATTCGAACAATGGACTTGATAATGGTCCAGGACGGACCGAAACGTCGTGTCTGGTGTGTGGTTTATCTTCATATCTTCAGCCACGCTATTGTGACTCATCGTCTGCATTTTGAAGAGCCATGACTTTGAAGCTATGTGCATTCTTGAAGCTGTGAGTGCCGTTGAAGGCGAGTGCACACATTAAAACTGCAGGTGTACACTCCCTCGAGCTATTACGGCAGGTGCTGAGATTAGTACACTGCCAAGTGTCTCTGTGCCTCGGTTCATTAACCAGGTGTGCACAGATGTCACCTCTTTTTTTGGTAGAGTTCCAACATTTTTCGTGTATGGCTTACAGGGATTAATGTTAGCATCGTGCATGAGAATTAATGTTGGTAATTATGATTGTAGATGAGAGAGAAAGAGAGAGAGAGAGAGAAAGGGATGAGAGGAATGACGTTAATTTACATTTCCCGTTGATATTTCAACCGGAAAGAGATAGGTCATTGACGGTTCGTAAAGCAAATGCACACACACACACACACACGCACACGCACACGCACACGCACACGCACACGCACACACACACACACACACACGCACACACACAACTATGTGAGTACAACTAGGTAAACACACACGTGCGCGCGCGTACGCGTCAAACATGAAACGAAGCTGGAGAAAGTTCAGCGGTATGCCACCAGACTAATCCCAGAGCTGAGAGTCCATGAATTACCACGAAACACCGTCAGAATTAAACCAAACAGTGGTGAAGAGATAAAACAGAGAAGACATGATTACCACATATGAAATACTATGTGGGATTGACAGGGTAGAACAATTATTTATCATAATTATAGACTTTGTATTGATTGTTTTTAGTTTCATTGGAGTAAATAAATAGAGTAAACCAAGAAGGGAAACGGCTGAGTCTGCAAACACATCTTCAAATTTACATAGATTAGTCCAAAGGGTTCCGATCAACTTTAGGTTAACAGGTAGGACTCAAGCGCTAAAACTCAACCCCCGGAAACCTAGCTAAATGAGTACACAGGTTCAAGGTGCTTTTTTATGTTCTGACTTTTCTAGCATGTAATTTCTGTACTTTGATAATCCTCAGTAGTGAGCTAGGTGTGTTTTTTGGGGGGAGTGTTGTTCACCGTAGCATGAACACAAGGTCAGAATGTTCCCTGTTACATGATAATGCTTCCCTGTGATGATAATGCACAGTGCTTGGCGGTATTGCTACATAATGCTGTAGAATGGTGCTTGGCGTTCCAGCTACTCGATGCTGTAGAGTACAATGCCTGGCGTTCAATGCTACTCTATGCTGTAGAACACTGTGCCCTGCGTTCTCTCCTACTTGATGCTGTAGAACACAGTGCCCTGCGTTCTCTCCTACTTGATGCTGTAGAGTACAGTGCCTAGCTTTACCTATTACACGATGCTGTACATTTCAGTACTTAACATTCCCTGTTGTACGATGTCGTAAAACACTGTGCCTGGCACTCCCTGCTACACTATGCTGTAGAGTGCTGGGCCTGACAAACTTACAAGGAGCAGCTTGAAAACCTCGAGGATCACTCTGCCCTCGACATTCGATGCAATAAATTTGTACATAGATCGGTCAGTCAGATTAAGCACCGTTGAATCAGGACAATAACTGGATATGTGACCACAGATACCCAGTGTTCTTTGCTATCGGGACGTTTATATGCCACAGGCTTCTTGTCCCGGAGTAAAAAGGCATATTCCTGTGCTTGGATTTAAAGTGTTTACTATAGAGTACTTCCGGCTAGATGAAACTCAAAGTATACACGTCTCCCGGCGTTAACAGGAGTCACTGTAAGGAACCTGAAGACAAAATTTGAATTAAAAACATATACGAAATATCTTACCTTTAAGGCGGGTCCATTCTGGTGGCTCGGTGATTTCTATGGTCTCACTCATCTCATGTTCCAGGAACATGAACATTACTCCCCCCAGCATGAGGAACATGGCGTACACAACACACAAGACTACTGATTGGTGAGAGTCCATTTTCTGGGTTAACTTATTTATGTTTTGTGAAGGTGTAATCTATTTCTACTGTACGTGGATAACTTGTAGGCCGAATAACGTCCGTAGAGGTCTTTGATGCTGCGGATATTTCGTAATACGAGATATTGCCCACTTTTTGTTTCGTTCACATTTAAGGATGCATATGCTTGGAGAACATGTGTAGAGAGACTGGGAGGGAGGGTGAACATGCACACAAGCAGCTGGTGCGGTGGTCCTCCTGCAACTGACCCCCCCTCGTAGGTCAAACTCACGCCTCCACCACCCTGGTGATCTTCCAGCACACCCCCGCCCCGGTGGACCACTCCGCGCCCTCACCCACGCCTCTCCTCACACACTGGGCTTTACACCTGCTGCTAACACGGAGATTTATACCTCATTTCCATACCAGTCAACACTCAACCAACACAACAACTCCAACTGCGCTTCACGCAGCGATGGGTTGGTTATCTTGCTAATCTGGCAGCCACTCGGGTTGCCGCTAGTCTGTTTATATGTGTATGTACTCACGCCTACCTAGTCTCTTATTATACGGGAGTATATTTCATAAGACCTGAACTGCCGCACGCTTGACATTACAGTGAAAGAGAACATCTGATAAGCGGAGAATGTGGGAGCAAATGTTAGCGTGGCATCTTGGAGGACGGTGGTTGTGGGAGCCAATAATCTCGCGGTGCGCCAGCAACTCGTCTAGCGGAACTCTCACTGAGTGCGGCAGCCACTAGCACCCACCTGACCAACACTACACTCCACAACAGTGTAGTGGAACGGGGTGGGCCGGGACAAAGTACCAAATGAGAGAGGAAAACTTCCACGTATCTGGAGTTTAAGACCGGTCAGGAGTCATGAAGCATTTACGAAACCTGTACATCTTTTCTCAATCGTGACTGCTTAGTTTATAATAACATTAACCTTTGGTTATGAAGTTTTAAAGCTCGTAAACTGTTTACTGTATGTAAAGCATGTCATCATTATTAAGGAAAGATGTACAGGTTTCGTAAGAGGTTGTGCAATGATGAATTCTGGCTCTGAGACAAAGTGAAATCTACACTAGCTAGTCCATCAATCATTGCAATGTCATGCAAGAGCCGCATATCTATGGATCATGCAGAAAAATCAACAGACTCATAAATGTTCCTACAACTTGTATTAGACGCAGTTACAAGCATCTCTGGGTGTTTACATTACCTACTGACTATTCACACACTCTGCATCACCATGTGATGGAATGGGGGAACAATGGAAGATTACTGTCACAATACATTTAAACGTATTTCATTAATACTATTTTACCATAAATCTTAGCTCAGTGCATCCATGGGGAGCTTTTCCCTATCAAGCACCACGCCGCCCGCTGGCTGGGTGCGGGGGTGCTTGATAGGTAAATTAACTAGTTAAATAGATAAATACAGTTATATACTTACTGTATTTATTTAACTATATAAATATCTATTTATGTGTATTTAACTAGCTTACTATAAATGTAACTTGCTTAGGTGGGGTACATCGACAGACTCGCTTTTACAAGCCGGTGTTCGATCCCCGACGGACCAGTTGGTTAGACACCGTTCTTTCCCACCTTCCCTGTCCTAATATCCCCCATCAAGTGCTGTGTTGCAATACTGGCTAAACGCTTTCTCCTCATTACCTTACTAGTTCCTGAACCTCTTTATGTGACACTATAACGTTTCTGCCACTTGCTGAATGAGTATGGGTTCCCTAATACTAAACTCTCTCATACACTAACTATTCGCACTACTTTAATACACTGAAACACTCATCCATTGTGTTAGGGCCTCTTGGGACAACGATGATTGTTTGGTAAACTGTAAATAGACTCTTAATGTATATGCAGGCGATAAGTCACAGTAACGTGGCTGAAGTATGGTGACCAGATCACACATTAGAAGGTGAAGGGACGACGACGTTTCGGTCCGTCCTGGACCATTCTCAAGTCGATTGTCTTGATTGCGTCGATTGTCACAATCGATTTGAGAATGGTCCAGGACGGACCGAAACGTCGTCGTCTCTTCACCTTCTAGTGTGTGATCTTAATGTATATGTTAACAAACTAGTGTTAATACTGTGACTTACTATGCTGGACCTTGTGTACCATGTATATCAAACCCATCAGGTTCTCCTGATGGTTCTAATAGTCGGACAGGAAACTTCTTAGGCTTATCGAGGCCTCCCTAAGTCAACTACTAGTTAAATTACCCCAGGATGCATCCCACAACAGCTGTTTAACTCACACTGTAACTGTGATTTCTGTGTGTATTGAACCCAAAGCATGTCAATACACTATACCATATACCACGTACTGCCAATCAGAACGGCACTGAGAAAAATCTTTGGAGTAAGATGTCATGCTCGAACCTACATCTTGGGTCTCCTCAGACGATCACCGTACTACCAGTTGACTCTGTACGGCGTGCGTCCTGGGTCCCGCTTGTTCGAGCCCATCGTTCTCACGGAAGTATCACGATATTGTGACACCATTGTGCGTAGAACTGCATAGTTCCGCTAATGGTTGTTCACATGGTCATTGAATAACCTGATATTCAAGATGATTGAAAGGTTTGCTTTCCCGGTGTTGCTTTGAGCCCTGTTACTCTGGATACTGTCCTTGGAGTCCTTCTGACCCACTGATATGTCTTCATACTCTTGAACTGTCTCTGCTACTGCTTGTGTCCAGTGCTGGTTGTCCCCACTACTTATTCTCTCTCCCTCTCTGCTATCAGATACAGCGGTGTATTAGATAATACGAGCATTGCATGGAGCTATTTAACATCAGAAAAAAACATCAACTGGATGCTGTTCCTGCCCACGACGGAGATTGGGCCGACCTTCAGATTAGTTTTTAATAATATTGCGATTCTACATGATTCAGGCTTTCCGCAGTGTGTTTGTGTGCACGCGCGCACGTGCGTGTGTGTATGTGTTTTGCATATTTTTGTTTTGTGTGTGTGTTCATATACATAGTTTTTGTGTGTATGTACTCACCTAGATGTCCTTGCCGGGTGGAGTATGCAATATTATTTTTTTCCATTGCATGAAGAACTTCCTCATCAAACTCATCTGTTATACTCAAATTCTATGTCAGTTGGAATATAACCAATCACAGGCAAGTAGGCCTCTGACGTCATGCCAGACAGAGGAGCATCAGCCATGCTCCCAGCAGCCTCAGTTCTCCTCACAGACCCAGAGTAGGTGGACCTCGGCTGGCCAGATATATACCTTGTTGTCTCGGTCAATAAATATATACAGAAGCGACTACTGTGTCTACATTCAACCCGAACAAGGCAAACGAATACATCACAGAAATCAGAAGTTCCTTCTGACTTCTGAAACTCATCTGTGTCCCCAGTGTCCATTTACGTCCTTGTTCAAATATTCCTAACTGAGCAGTGCCTCTCTATCTACTTAGTCATTCCGCTTAGAATCTTGTACGTCGTTATCAAGTCTGCTTTATTCCTTTTTATCTCAAGTGTGGTGAGATCCAGTTCCCTCAGTTTGCCTCATAGCTCAAGCCCTTCAGCTCAGGAACTGGCATTATTGCATATCTTTGAACAGGGTATGAATGGACACAGGAAGATGGAAGTAGGTCATACCCAAGGAAGGTCAAACGTAGACTTAGTATTCGACCTTCCTAACAATGAGCTTAGGCTTCAGCCTAAGATAAGACCTATTGTCTTATGTATGACCCTCTGTCCTGCGTGACAGTGAATACCAGCATTATCCTCACTTTAATAACACTATCAAAATCCTCAGATTAGGCAAAATTGTAATTAATTTTGCCAATAAAGATGTTAATAATAAATAGGCCCCAACCCATCCTATTACATAATACGCATCATTTATTACGACATCGTCCAGTCCGGTTAAAAAGAACTGTGACGCATTAGTATAAAATACAACATCTTAGTATTTACGTTCTCCATGCATCGGCCATGATAAGTTATAAGTTAGTTTGGGTTCGTAAGTTTCTGATTAGGCAAAATTAGTCGTATTTTTTACGGAATTTGTTTTGTGTTGATTTTCCTGGATACGTGAGTGGTCGGCCTCGATCTTTCCGTGCTTGGGCTGCCTTGGTGTAACTGACGAGGTGGGGCTGCGAGAGTAAATGCCAGTTCACAGCAATAACAGTCTCTTGGATCAGCCCGGCCTCTTGGATCAGCCCAGCCTCTCGGATCAGCCCGGCCTCTCGGATCAGCCCGGCCTCTTGGATCAGCCCGGCCTCTCGGATCAGCCCGGCCTCTCGGATCAGCCCGGCCTCTTGGATCAGCCCGGCCTCTCGGATCAGCCCGGCCTCTCGACTTGCTAATCCGTTAAAAATACAACTGTATTACCTAATCAGAAACATACGAACTGAAGGAAACTCACCTACAACGTATCGAAACCGATGTATAGAAAGCGTCAATATTACGGTGCTTTCATTTTTAATAAAAGTACTTTTTTTTGTAACGGCGGTAGTTAATGAGAGGCTGAAGAGGAGTTAGACAAAGGGACCTTTTTACCCTGTCGTAGCTCAGTCGATTAAAGCAGTGTCTGGGATGCTCCCGAACGCAGGTTCGAATCCTCGTCACGGCCCTTGTGGATTTGTTCAAAGGGACTGACTTCTATGGCCTTGTATGTGAATACTACCAGGAGAGCTTCTCACTATAGCTGTATCTGCCTAAAACTTTCTATACGCTGTTTTCGGTCCCTTCTATCTGTATTCCCACCAGTATCTGTCACTGCATTTCGGTCCTTCGCTCTCCAATCCTATTTGGAGCTTCCCTGTCCACAGTCACCTTTTTTATTTTCTGACTGCTGGCTAGTGCAAATTGCTGCGTCCTGCGAAGTGGCTGCTTGCATTCCGTGGTGATGGAGATTGGTATGGAGAAAGCGAGGAAGGATAATTGGAAAGAATAAGAAGAGAAAGATGTCGAATAAGAGGAGAGAGACTGAGCAGTCCAATCGAGGTACCGACCAGATAAACCTGTTTTGCTCAATGACTGCGGTGCTGTACATGCGCGTGCGAGAGTTGGGCGCATGGCTGACAGCTGCGTCACGTCAGCAGCGCCAGCCAACGCTGACAGCCTTTGTACGTAATCCTGAGAACACCGTCAGTCACCTATAGAGCCGGCGATCAGTTCTCTGCAGCACTCACGCATGCAGTATCGTCATGAGCCCTGGTCGCGGACCGGGCCGCGGGGACACTAAAGCCCCGAAATCATGTGAGATGAGTCTGGTCGTTCTTATGAGGAACTCATCACACGTAGTTCTTGCTTGACTCATAAGTACTGTAAGGATAATGACATTTATTTACATGTAAACAGATTAGTGTAAATAATGCTTTTGTTAACATAAGAAGAGGGAAGAAGTAAGTGCGTGACGGAGGTGGAAGCAACCGCAGGAGATAAGGGGTGGTGGAGAAGAGACTGTATTTAGGTAGTGGAGCAA